GCGAATATAACACATAATTACTGTATTTGCATTACTGTAAGGGTAGGTATAGGGTTGTGGTAGGTGTAGACGTTAATAAACCATAATTTTACAGGTAGCATTTTTCGTTGTCGAATTGTACTACCCACTGTTTTAATGGGAGGTAGCAAAATCTGACAGGGTAGCACAAATCGACAGAACACCACACTTTATTTTATAAAATAACGTGGCCACACTTTAAATAAATTGAGGAAACGAATTAATAAAATCTTTTTTTAAATGCTCACGTATTAATAAGTCATGGTAAAGATATAAGCTATCAGTTGTGTGATATCTTGATTTTCCTCCCGGAAGTTATGTGCATCTGATATGTTTCGTCGGTACACGTGGGATTCGTAGGGGACTGCCCAGCTTGAGGAAGAAGAAAATAGGCTTGTTCGACTTCATGCGGCGCCGCAAAGATCGGCTGCCGCCTGTCAAAAGCAATGCATTCTGGTTAGAACATCTGTCCGACTTTGATCGGCGCTGCAGCCGCCTTACGATCACATATGCCATCAAAGTAGGCTACTGCGAGAGCAAAACGAGACCAGCCGCCTAGCTAGGTCAGGCGCTGCAGTTGCTCAAAATCGGCTGCGAGATCCTTGATGACGACACACTTTATTCTCATTGGTTAGATTCTGGGACGACAAGCACGACGTGTGTTGCGTGTTTATTCCTGTTTTTATACAGTCTATGGTTTATTCTAACAATTAAATAAAAAAAACACTCACAAATCTGGGTTTTTATAACAGTAAAAGCATTTTTAGTGTAGTCGCACTGTTATATTGAATCACGTTTATCAACAAAACTGATAAAAGCATACCCCCACTTTATTGGTATTTAAATAGTATATGTTAATGTTGAATTTTATTCATGAAAAGATGGCGCTTTATTAAGCAGTATATAAAAAGTGTTTCTGTTGCTCATGAAAACGTTTCTGAAACGTGTATTTGACAAATATTGCATTCAATCACTTCATCTGTGATAAGAGTATAGGCAACAAACACTGCGAGAGTGTCACTACCGGGAGCAGCCAGCCAGTGGCAGGCTAGTGTAGTGCATCTCGAACGAGAAGTATAAAAACAACATTTAGTGCACTGAAACAGACTTTACTGTTACATGAATCGAATGAGTGGGTCTGGAATTTTACTACAAGCCACAAGGTTCATAAAAGAAATCTTCCCAAACAGCTGCAGTTTTATTTTACATGTAATACGTTTTTGCAACTTTTTTTCCCTCAGCTTCTTGTGTGCTAAAGGAAACTGCTCTGAAGGAAATGTGAGTCAAATGACTAATTATCCATGACCACGAGACAGTAAATAATGGGCTATTATAAGCATGCCATCTTCCTACTTCCTTGTAGGGCAGACTAGGGATTAAAATATATTTATTGTAAAACTGTATGTCTTTATTGCTTTATATCACTTCACGAGTATAGATATATGTTCCTGATGTCACGTGCAGTTTCATGGCTTTTAGAAATTACACTGTATATTTTATATTTAGGCAAACACTGTTTCCGAGATATGAAAGTAACGTTAGTCAAATACAATTTTTTATTAGCCTATAGTTTTTTATTTTTACATTTAAATGAAAGTACTTCTAATAAAAAATAAACTTTCAAGTAAATTTTGTTTAATTCTCTTCATGTTAATCTTATCTCAAGGTAATGCAAAGCACTATAGCATCTGAAACTTAATAGCTTTACTCACATATGCTATTCAGTAGTCAGAAGAGAAGGTCTTCATTGAGAAACAAGCAATAATTGTGATTAACTGTAGACAGCTGACATGTACTGTGAATTGACTCATTATGTTGTAAAACATTAAGTGAGTAAACAAAAATTAAGTTGTAACTGCTTTAGTGAACAAACAGAACAATAACACGACATTAACATGAATGCTTGTGTTTAAAATTTGGAAAGAACTGTATTTGAATAATGGCTTACGTTTAACATACACTTCAGTGAGTTTGCGTGTCAGGAGATGATGGCATTTGAATGTCATGGACAAGTAGCCTACTTCTCAAATTACATGTAATTTTTTTTTATGTTTAAATTTTTTTTTTACATTAGTAAATATATTTATATTGCAAAATGTTATTTTGAAGATTATTAACAAAGGAGTCACTAGACAATCTTATTAATAAAAAAATAAAAATAATATATATATATATATATATATATATACACACATATACAGGGCAGGACTTACAGGGCCGGGGGCCCCTGGGCTTGAGGTTATGTTTGGGCACCATACCTATACTACAAATGCCCTCAAATAGAACATTATTATGGAGTAACACAAAATACACAAAAATTAAAATATGCTTTCAGGTTCATATACTGTATACAATTAATATGCAACATGTCTAGCCTAGTCAAAGATTAGATGTAATATTAAATAGTCACTATAGTACAATAAACAGGATGTGGTCTCTCAGTTGAGAGATCAAAACCCTGAAATAACACTGAGCAGAAAAAACCAAAGAGATGTACTATTATGAAAATGTATTGTCATATCTGTGTCCTTTTATGTCAGATTCTTAAATTTAATAAATTCGATCTGAATAGAAGTGGCTATTAACAATAATGTTGGCTATTAACAATCAAATGAAATCACTATAAACAAAATCCATAGATGGATTTTGCATAAGTTAAGTTTAAATACACCATTTTAATGTAGAAATATTAAATGATCGGAAAAATTAAATAATGAACTACCGTACTTTTTAAAATATGAAACTACAACCGCCAGTAGGTGGCAGCAAGTGACTGTCTTAATGAGTGAGTTGAATCCTTAAATCAAC